GGGTCCGGGACTCAAACAGTGGTTGACTACATGGGAGTCCAGTGACATAGCCATTATGCCAACTGCTGGTCCCCCATACATAACTTTTTAAATGTTGATACTGGGACCTCCTAAAATTTTTGACATGGAAGAAGTTCATCTATGTTTGTCTGAGACTTGAGATTTACAAAGAAAAAGACTGCTCGTTGGGGAAGAATGTGTGGATTCCTTCTCTGTAAGCTCTTCTCTAGCCTTTCTCAAGCTCAGTTATCCCTTGGACTATTCAAACTGAGATTCCTCAATTTCTCTCTATTCAATAATCAAATCAAGGATACTGCCATATCCATTATCAACAAGAAAACATGTTTGTGCACCTTCAATTTTCATTCTACTGGTTTATATGTGTGTGTATACACACATACAATTGGCAAATAAAACAAAAAAGAATAAACAGCATCAACTCTAATTGCTCATCCCACATCTTCCTGGATGTTTTCCTTGTGTCTTTGGTCACCCCACACTAGGTCTTTCCCACTGCTCCTACGGTGCTTCCTCGCTTTCTGGCTGTCATAAGCTGATGGTGCCACAAGCACTTTAAACTGAGCAAGTTCAGTGCAGGTTTTCATCTTCCTTTCCCTCCTCTTCCCACTAGCTGCTTCTTAGGTAAGTCAAATCTACTTTTCTGATTTGCAATAAATGAGGCTTACAATCTCTGGGTTAGTGTTCACTCCCCACTCTCTGCTTGTACTTCATCAGTAACCTGTCTTCAAATTTTGCCTCCACAATGTTTTCATCATCTGTTCCCTTCTTCCTGTTCCTTTGGATCCTTTTGAGATTAGCCTGACCTCGTTTCTTGCTTGGACTGTTTAGACTTCTTCCCCACTCATTCCATTATATTGTCCCATCCCCCAATTATCATTACCTGATCAATCTCCTGAAGATAGAACTCTGAGTCTTCCACCCACTCCCTATCTCCTAGTAGCCCCTAGTAGTCTTCCACCCACTCCCAGCACCTAGTAGTTGAAGCCTAGGTCCCTACACTTGTATTCAAGGACCTCTGCAGCCTGGGAGCAACAGTGCGTTGCATTGCTTTCATTCTAGTAGAATCCTCATTTGCGGGAATTCGGATTATCATCAATCTGGGTACACTGGAAACTTCCTCTCTGACATGCTGAAATGTGTTGTCTTTTTTCCATCTGTACTTATCAAAATTCTATTGCACTTTTCCCCACTATTTAACATTTAAAGGCTGATTCACATGATACCTCTTCTGCGAAGCCTTCCTGGATGCCACCTAAGCTTTGATTTTTCTTACCTTTGAGGTCGTATAAGTTGGGGTTCTTCAGCTGTGATGTGAATTCTGCCTCCTGGTGCTGTTATTGGCATACCACTCTTCTCCTCCCCAGGTGTTAAACCTCTTAAAAGCACAGCCTGGGGGCCAGCAGGTGGTGTAATGATTAAGATGCTGGATTCCCAAGTGGTTGACCGTAGTTCAAGTCCTGGACCTGGTGGCTTTAAACTCATGGTGGGTGCATGTACATGCATGCCCAAAATCCCGGTGGCTTTACACTCATGCTGGGTGCATGTGCGTATATGCCCAGAATCCGAGAGGAGAATGGAGGAGAAGGGATTGGGTGGTGGCCATCCTCCCTCCGAGGAGTGATTTCTCGCTCTCTCTGTCTCTGTTTCTCCAGTGAGCACACTCACCCTTTAGCAAAAATCTCTTAAAAAAGTAAAAAAAATAAAAAAATTAAAAAAAAAAAACAACAGCACAGCCTGTTGGATATGCTTTCATGAGTCCTCAGAAGCTTACAGATACTTGCACCATGGAAGGAACGGTCCTATTGTGCCTGGAATCCAGCTACAAGCACATGGACTTCTGTCTGTATATTTACCTACCTATGTTTAAGCCGCATTTCTTTCACTGCCTGCCTGGCTTATGTTTTGGAAATTATATTCAGTTTCTCTTTGACTTATGCACACTGTAGAAATAATAGATGTGTAAGAGAGTAAAATTCTTCTGATTTTGTAATGTCTTTGGCTTCTTTATTTGTCCATTTGTGAGTTGCTGAGCTACTGCAAATGGCAGGCTTTTGGATCCTTCCTCTGGGGCCCTAAGTGCAGTACTAGTTCTCATTCTCATTGTCCCAGTCTCCATTCCCAAAACACCCCACGTAAGCTACATTTTGCTCTTCTAACTCTTCACATCAGTAGCCTAGGAAAACAGAACATCTTCCAAAGTTTGAATGATCTCACAGGGATAGGTTCCCTTGGTACTTGGGCACTCAGGCAAAAATAAAAAAGAAGCAAAATTTGTTGTATTTTTAAAATACTTAGTAACATTATTATCATTAATTATTGCCCCTCGTCCAATCTTATTGTGAATTATTATAATGATATTAATAACACATTCTTATTAAATGCCTATTTTGTGTGAGACATGAGGCTAGAACACTGGTTTGCTTAAATCTACTTCTTGGGACCAGCAGATAGCATAATAGTTACATCACTGAACTCCCACGTAGTTGACCGTGGTTTGAGTCCAGGACCCGGCAGCTTAAATTCATGCCGGCCGTGTGTGTATGCATGTGCAAAATCCCAAGAGAGTAGAGGAGAAGGGATTGCAGCATGGCCACCCCACCCTGGGGGAATGATTTTTCACTTTCTGTCTCTCTCTCTTTGTCTCTCTGGTGAGCACATGGTCCCTATAACAAAAATCTCTCTTTAAAAAAACCCAAAAAACAAAAACAGAAAAACCTACTTCTTAAGACAATACTATGAAATGGAAACTGAAACTTAGATTCACCAAGGTCCCATGGCCAGTGAGTGATAGCATTGGGATAACTTGGCACTATAGTATTTCTTTTCTTTTATCTTTAATTTTTTTAGAATTATTTATATAAACTTATTTGTTATTGTTATTATTTTTTTAATTTGCTATAGAGCACATCCACTCACCAGGAAAAGAGAGAGAGAGAGAGAGGGAGAGGGATGGTGAGAAAGCAAACTGCCAGGTCTGGGAATGAAATTGTGGTCGGCTATGTGTAAGTCCAGCATCTTAACCACCTTGCCACCTGCTGGCTCCATTGGTGCTATAGTATTTAAAATAGTGTGGTACTGACCTAGGTATTAAGATAATAGAATATAATAAAAGGAGTAAATAGATCAAGACCTGAATAGAGTCCAGACAATAGCTGCATGAAAAATTATATATGGTAAGTAAATCAGTAGGGAGAAGATGGTCATTTACTAGTGCTATGGCACACTGGTTCTCCAGCTGAAAAAGAGAAAGGAAGGTCAACATTTTATCATAAACTCCAAATATTGGGTTGTCTGAAAAGTCGTGACGCATTTTTACATGTAAAAAAGCGTCATGACTTTTCCAACAACCGAATAGATGATCTTTAAATGTAATTTTTCCACCATTACTAACTGGAGTTAAGTTTTTAAAATGATTCAATATTAAGAAACTAATCAATATAATTTACCAAGAAATTCAAAGGAAGTGTCACATAATCATCTTTAAAAATGCTAAAAGTCAACTGAAAAATATTAGTACTAATTTTTGACAAAATACTCATAATATAAGTAATCAATAACATACAAAAATCTGGCTCAGCCCTAAACCTGCAGCTATTTAGTGAATCTAGAGGCATTCTTATAAAAACTCAAGGATATCAAGAGAATGAGCATAATTACCACCATTTTAATTTTAATGAGGAAAATACTCAGTCTACTTAAGCAAGAGAAAGAAATTACAGACATTGGAAAAAAGAGGTAAAAATATTTGTATGGTTGGAAAATCCAAACAATCAACATCAACATTAAAGCTATTATAGAGCAGTAAGATACAGAAGGTGGTGGGGCACTAGATATATGAAAATCAATATTTTCTAGTCTATAAAAATAAGCATGTATTAGCATATAGAAGGGAAGAAAAGGTTCTACTTGCAATAAGAACAAAATATAAAATATTTAGAAATAAATTTTACAAGAAATGTATAAGACCTACACGAGAATTTTACAACACTCAGGAAAATATAAAGGAAACATGAAATAATGGAATACTATACTATGCTCTTAGATCAGA